TGCCCCACAAAACCAAGCGGGGTCAGGCGGCCCTGGAGAGGCTCAAGGTGTTCGATGGGATCCCCCCGCCCTACGACAAGGTGGGGACCCCCAAATCCCACCCCAAAAATCCCCAAATTTCCCTTAAACCCCCTTGTCGGTGATGTCGTTTTTACCTACATTGTTTGACTCCTCGTGAGAAAAAAAAAAAATAAAATTCTGAGACACGCGGGACGTCACAAATCCCATTAAAAAACCCCCAAAAAAACCCCAAAAAAACTCGAAATTCCCGAATTTTCCAGAGGAAACGGATGGTGGTGCCGGCTGCCCTCAAGATCATCCGGCTCAAACCCACACGGAAGGTGAGACCCGGGTGGGATTTTTTTTGGAGGGGGAGGTGGGTGATGAAATTTTAGGGTTTTTGGGATTGATGGGATTTTTTGGGGGATTTTTGGTCGGGATTTTATCGGATTTTAGGGATCGATGGGAATTTTGGTTGGGATTTTTGATTGGGATTTTGATTGGGATTTTAGGGATCGATGGAATTTTTGATTGGGATTTCTGGGGGATTTTTGGTTGGGATTTCCGGGGAATTTTAGGGATCAATGGGATTTTGGGGATTTCTGGGGGATTTTAGGGATCAATGGGATTTTTGGTTGGGATTTTAGGGATTGATGGGATTTTTTTGTGGGGGATTTTATCGGATTTTAGGGGGTCCATGGGATTTTATCTGATTTTAGGGATCAATGGGATTTTTGGTTGGGATTTTAGGGATCAATGGGATTTTTTTGGTTGGGATTTCTGGGGGATTTTAGGAACTGATGGGATTTTTGATTGGGATTTTATCAGATTTTAGGGATCAATGGGAATTTTGGTTGGGATTTCTGGGGGATTTTTGGTTGGGATTTTATCTGATTTTAGGGATCAATGGAATTTTTGGTTGGGATTGTAGGGATTGTTGGGGTTTTTCGTTGGGATTTCTGGGGGATTCTTGGTTGGGATTTTAGGGATCAATGGGATTTTTGGTTGGGATTTCTGGGGGATTTTAGGAATTGATGGGATTTTTGATTGGGATTTTATCGGATTTTAGGGATCAATGGGAATTTTGATTGGGATTTTATCCGATTTTTGGTTGGGATTTTATCGGATTTTAAGGAATCAATAGGATTTTTGATCGGGATTTTAGGGATCAATGGGTCTTTTGTTGGGGATTTTAGGAGGTCTGGGGGATTTTGGGTGGGATTTTACCGGATTTTAGGGATTTCTGGGGGTTTTTGGTCGGGATTTTATCGGATTTTAGGGATCAATGGGATTTTTGATCTGGATTTTAGGGATCAATGGGATTTTTGATCGGGATTTCAGCGGTTCTGCGGGGTTTTTGATCGGTTTTTGGGGTGGGCAGAATTTTTTTTTTTTTTTT